CCCCCAAAACCCCAAAACCCCAAAACCCCTTGTTGGGGGAAGATAATTGAAGATTTGGAGTATTTGGGAGATGATTGGGGAATTGGAGTTTTAGCTTTGGAATGTCGTTTTGGAGCTCTTAGGAAAGTACCCTGGGTTTGTTTTAATGATTGAGAGATTGGGAGAGGATTTAGTAAAAATTAAATTCAGGGTCTGATAATTTTTTGTATTTGGGAGTTGGTCTAGGACTAGCAAAGCATGATCTTTTGAATGAAGTTCTTGGTGCTGTCTTATCTTGATTCTCTTTAATAATCTTCCTGAATACAAGAGCTGGGTTTGAAGTAGCACCCATTTTAGACAAGCTTTCTTTTAATCTTAAGGCCTTAGACTTCTCTCTTTTTAATAAATTTTCCTTTAAGCCTAGATCTTGGTGAAGTTGGTCACATTTCTTGTCTAAATCATAGCTTCTTTTGATAAAAGCTTCAAGTTCTTCTTCCAGCTTTCTATTTTCAGCTGAGACTTCTTGAAGATCTTCCTGTAAGATCTTGTTTTGTTTTCTCCAGAACCCGTTGAGCTTGGATCTCTTAGGAAGGACTTGCTCATAGCTACTGACTTCGGTACCATTTTGAGATTTACTTTCCTGAATGAAATTTTTCTTGAAACTTTCAATATGGTTTATAATGTTACTTAAGCAAGTATTAGGTATCTTTTGCTCTAACTTTTTCGTCCTATCTCTTGGGTCATATATATTCTCTTTCTTTATACTATCGAAAGTAGCAGAGGAGACAGATCTACCTCATGGAAGAAAGACAGGGTCCTCCATCACATCAAGGTCCCCATCATCCATGAGGATCTCATCTGATTGGTGAAGGAAGGAAATGACTTGGTGTCTGAATTCCTTCAGAGATTCTTCGTTTTGGTGAGAGAGACTATCTTTGTACTGCTTTCACCTTCTTTCGTAAATCGATTTCTCATCCTGTAGAAGTTGGTTTTCTAGCTGAAATTCTTGAATCTCGCTCTCTAGATTGGCTATTTCGGATTTCGTATCCTCATGAGCTTCGTTTTCTCTGTTGGAATATTTACTATTTCAGTTCGGAAGGACTAGATTGCTGCTATTGCTCGTGCTCCTAAAATCTTCAGAGCTGGTATTATAACTTGGACTGGTTGGAGCGTTTTGAAGATAGTATATATTTCCATTAATGCCATTATATGTAGATTTATTATGGTTACGTTTTCTTCTATTCCGGGATGTCTCCATTTGATTATTATTAAACAACTTTTTCAATTTGGAGAACATTTTTTGGGGTTTTGGGGTTTTGGGGTTTTGGGGTTTTGGGG